GTGAGACATAATTCATGATGGATTTTAAAAAATAATGCTGCCCTGATAAAAAAAATCAATTCGACAAAGTGGGACATTAACACATCATTTTTTCCCTTTCGGTGGGGACGTGGATTTTTGCTCATTTCTTAGTTGATTCCTACCTCAGACTCTTCCCTTATGATGTTTAGCACTTTAGTGAGGTCACAACACAGACAAGGGAAAAGAAAATCAATATTGTTATATATATGACATGCTAAAGCATGAACTAACTATATATTAACTCCATTAGCTTAAAAGAAGGAAGAACAAGATTAAGTAATACCCATGGGGTTTATGGTGAATTAGAAGTTATGCCAAACTTTGCAGTCTATGTATGATCAAATTATATTGCCAGTTTCATACACATGGTTTCTTGAAATCTGTCTATCAAATATCTTTGTTTAGCATGTCTCAAGTATATTTAGAATCCTCTCAGGTTTGAGAAATGTTGTCATTTGTGATGCTGTGATACTAAAGGTTTCTACTGGAGAGTTTTGCATTTCCCTGCCCTCTTCAGTTGGGTTAGATGTTTGAAAACTTGGTAGTAGAAATGGGAAATTTTAATAATATAAAACAAGCTTCATCAATGATGACCCTAAACACGAAGGAGAATATTGACAAAATCACATTTATATTGAAGGAATTCAAAGTGCATTACAGGCATTACCTAACATCACAATATCTAAGTGAAGCAAAGGGGAAAGGTGTCATCATCCCATTTTATGGATGTTCAACTTGTTCAAAGTTATTTAGCAATTAGGAGACTTAGAATCCAGTCCTCCTGGTCCATTTAAAAATATTGTTACATTTTCCAATGAAGAATTGGAGAGGAAATGGAAATGTGTCATTCTTTTTGTATTCATGTGATCCTTTATTTGTTCCAGAAATCAATCTGTAACACCTTAAATGATAGCTATGACAAATTAATTTGAATGCAAAGGTAGCCTAGTGGATCCAATGGATCCATAGCTGGCCTTGGAGTTAGGAAGACTTGAGTTCGAGTCTCATCTTTGACACATACTGGCCATGCAAGCTACTTAACCTCCCAGTCCTCCAGGCAAATCTGTAAGACTATAAATTGCTGAGATAGGGATCTGCATTGGTAGGGGAGTTTCCTCAACCCAAGTTGTCTATACCAATGAAATCATGATTTCACAATTTCTTCCAATTTATATATCTATCTATATCTAGATCTATCAATCTAATATCATATTGTGTTGGAATTCCTATTATGAAAGAATTGCCCATACGAAGGTTCACCTCTACTGGGGTTTATTTCCTTGGCTTGCAACAGCTATGGGTCTGCCTTGCTTGCACTACTGCACTCAGTTTTAAATCATTTGACATAAGCACGAAAGGTATTCATAACAGTGATATAAAAACCACCTGATATTAGACATGAAATATACTCTATCTGCATTGGAGATATTTTTAACCAAATAAATAATCTGTACTAGGACTTATTTTTTATGCTGTGGATCAAATTTCAAAGAGACTTACATAGATAAAGTGCCTATGAACCCTGAAGGAAATTTTGCCTGGGTAAGAATTTCATGCTTGGCCCCTAGTCTAGGTAAAGGAAAGACACTGACCAACAGTCAACAAATGTGAGATTTTGAAGCAACATTTGATAATTTGTTACCTTTAAAATCACTAAAAGCTAACATGACCAATAAACTAAAGGCTAATAGAAGACAATCATCAAATGTTATAGATAAAAGAAAAGTCACTCTGATATAAGAATCCAATATTACTACAAACCTGAACTGAGTAGAGGCACAATAACAATTTTCAGTACTTATTGCCACTGTGTGCATTTCCCCCTTTTTTTCCCCTGGGATGCTGCCCCCCCCTTTTTTCCTTTTGGAGGATGTCATGTCTTGTCTACTTTTTTTTTAATTCAAAAACTGAACTCAGTAGGAATCAATGCCTTTGTGAAAATATCACCAGGTTATCATGCTTTCAAATGACAAGTATACCCCCCAAATAGAGGCCAATTTCAGTTTTTAAAAATCACATTAATTCAGGTAGATTTGCTATGTGTGTATGTGTGTGTGTGTGTGTGTGTGTGTGTGTGTGTGTGTGCGTGTGTGTGTGTGTATAAAGTGGACATACCATAATTTTCTAAAGAAACTTGTAGAAACCAGTATCAGTGTAAATTGAGACTTCTAATGGGCATATTTGTTGCAGTGCTAGTGATTCTATTTTTAAAAATTTCCTCTTAAAAACACACTTGAACTTCTTAAAAGGTTATTATCTCAGGTTGTGGGATTTAAGTTAGCTAATTTATTTTAAGGAAAAGATATATTTTAAAGAATTGAATAGTTTAAACATCAAATTGTCTCAGAAATGGAATAGCTTTGAAGAAAAAATTGTGAACTCTTGTGAAATTATGTCATCTATGACTTTCTTATAAAAGATAATCTTCTTTTAAAAAGGAAATTTAGTTTCATTTTCTTTGAAATTTGCATCCAAGAGCTGTTAGAAATGCCCAAGAATTTCAGACTTGTGGTAATCTCTTGCCCTTATCTTATAGCTAAATGTAGTGTATCCTTCCCCAGACCCCACAATCTAAGCACAGGTTCTTTTGAACTTAAAACATGCTTATTGTAGCTCAAATAGCTCTGAAATGACTGAAAAAATCAACTCTACTTGAAAATCATCTAGGCCAGAGGAATTAGGAAGTAAAAGTAACAACAAAAACCTGTTTAATTTTAATGGACAGAGAATTTATGATCTACTATGTTTATTCTCATAAGGAACTCCAAATTAAAATTACTTTGAAGACTAACAAGAAATCAGTTCTGCCCAGGTATTACCTATTCATCTACCTATATTATTTGCTATGATATTCATTATTGCTCACAAGTTGCTCTATTCTACTGGGCTTTGTGCCTATCAGTCTCTTCAAACTTGTCCACAAAATTGGGTTATTTTAAATTAAACAAATGGAGAATAATCGTCCCTCTCTTTTTCCCTTAACCCTCCCTTGCTTCCTTCTCCCCCCCCCCCATTTTAGGTAGTTCTTGACAAGGCTATTACAATTGGGCTACTTTTAAACCCTCTTTGGGGGTATTTTCCATTTTGACAAAGAGGAACGGAAGTTTCTACTGAGTGTTCATTGGTTGCATTATTGGAGGCTGCCAGAAAGGCTTCCAATCCACTTTAGCTTCTGAAACAGCCTGGGTAAATTTGCATGCACTTGAGTATACATAGGCTTCCCATCTGTGGTTTCCAGGCATGGGAGAAATTGGACTACTTTTAAAGTCTATTTTTAGCTATATAGAGCTGCTAAATATCATTTGATCTCAGACTGAGGAATAGTTCTAAAATTGTTTTTTCATATTCATGAATATGTTGTTTCCAGTGGCTATTAATTTCTACAACATATCAAACAAACAAAAGCAATTGAATGCAGAGAAATGTCTGGGAAATGGTTAGATATTATGGAATCAAATTGAATGAGATTATAAACACTTTTCATGTGTGTCTGTGACTGGGGTGGTGGTGGTGGTGGTGTGTGTGTGTGTGTGTGTGTAGAAATTCTTTCAGTTTCCAGGCCTCAATTTTATAAAACATCACATTGAGAGTAAGGCAGTTTCTTGGCAAATCTAACCTTCTTTGTGACTTCACAGTTTGCATCCTGGATTTGTAGTGTATTGCAACAGTTCACCACATTTTAAAATCTTACCACTTTGGAGAGGTGAGGGCAAATTCTGGAAAGTGAAGGCCTTTGTAAAATTTTGAAAATAAATGTTGGTTGAATGAATATCAATGCTTAATGAAGTGAAACTAACACATAATTATAAACTTGCTACCAAAACAGGAAAGCCTGGAAGCACAGAAAGTAACATTTTGTATGCAGTTTGAAAAAAGAAGACTGGACATAGCTAAGGATAGATATTGTACCACAAAGAATACACTTAATAACTCAAAAATCTCTTTTTTAATAGTCCCTATTCATAATATGATGCTGATCAACATGCATGGTATTGTTTCCAGTGCGGACATTGCTTCATGGCATAGAGACCTCTCCTTACATGATTTTTAAAAAGCCATTCATTGTTTTTTTTTTCCCCTACTCCAAGCATTCACAATAGGTATTTGCTTTCTGCACTCTTAAATAGTGGCATGAAATTTCCTTTAAAAGAAAATAAAAACACAAATGTTTGGGGATCTTTTTTCAATTGTACTTTGCCATTTGTAAGATTTCTTTAAGATCCTATTTTCTTTATTTCTACCCCTCATACAACTCTTTCTCCCTCTCTCTCACTTCCTCGCTTGCTCTCTCTGTCTCATTTGACAGGCAAATTTGCAGACATTGCCCGAGGATAACAACCTCGTTTGACAGTCAATTAACCGTGAATAGTCAAAGCCAAGGCAGTTTGCATTACATAAATGGAAAATTAGATTCCTTTTTCCCAAGAAACAAAACCCTCTCCTTAAGACACTGCAATAGACAACTTAGTATCAAAACTTCTAATCACGTCTTTCCCAAACCCCTTGGAGACATTTAGCAATCAGTAAAAGGTGGTTTCATTTAATTTGTATAATGTAATTTTTGTAAATGTATTATACATTTTGTGTAGAGATCATTATCATGGAGATAATATAAATGTTGGCATAGATGTCATAAAACACCTTTAATGTCTTTCTGACAGATATTAAAAGCAATAAGCTGTGATCCTTTTTAATGGAAGGTTTCTAAGAGAACATTTCAATTATTGTCATTTTATGCTTTTCCAGCCTGTTTCATTGTGTAACCTGATATATTTCTGAAATTTCTTCTGAAATATGCCCAGCAATTAATAATCTTATTGCTATTAATGTCACTGTTTTCCCATTTGCTTTTTTCTTAGTTATATCTACTAGGAATTGTTTTTTGTTTTTACCCTTATACTAAATATTTAGTCCTTTGATTATGAATTTAAGCCCCCCACTAGACAGCCTATTCAGTCTTTATATTTTTCTCAGCCTACCTGCTCTTTCTCTCCAGAAATCTCCTCCTGAAGGTTCTGAATCTGTGATGAAAAAATTATGCTCCTTGTTCTTATCTAGAATCAGAACAAAACACAAAAATCTACAAGTGCCTTTGCTGGCAGACAGGATACAGAATCATCTTCAGTTCCATATGCATATATATGGAAGTTCCTATAGAATTATATGCAAAGGGATATGCTTTTGGGGGGGAGGAGAGGAGACATTGTTAATCGGTAAATTGCTATTGTTTAGAAACTATACACTGTAGAAAATGTTGACTTTTTGAAAAGTATAAAGGATGTGATATTTGAAATATGCTTGATATATACAGAAAAAACCTTATAGAGTGTGTTGGGTTGTTATGTGTGGGGGTAGGGCTGTGAAAGAGAGGCTATGGGAAGGGATTGTAAAGGGAGTGAGTCTCACAATGGTTGTGTTGATTTTAGGAAAAGAAAAAGTTGTTTGTGTTTGTTTTACCTGAAAAGTTGTCTTCTTTTGTAGGCAAAATTACTGGGTTACCTTCCTTAGTTTTCTGATTCTATATTTTTAAAAAAGAGAGAGAAAATTAGGTGTACAAATCAATGCCTGGATAAAACCATATGCTAATGTCAACAGTCAGTAGGAAAAGACATCAATAAAAGTGACTCTTAATGGAGCTTCATGAGATGTTATTTTTTATGATTATCTTTCTTTAATAGTTTTTAAGCTTAAGTACATTTGAATGTATACATGTTATCTTTAAAAGTTACCAGTAGATCCATGATGTTTGCATGTACTATAGGTAGCATGTGAAGATGATATGTATTTACTGGATCCATACTATATTAAGATAGATTTACTCCACCCAGAAGTCTTTGGAATTATGTACATGCACACTTGAGTGAACACTGAATGTTAGTTGCCATCTGAGTTTAGCTTTGGCCTCAAACATAAAATACCTTTTAAAGGTTCCACCAACTACTCTTATTTTAAAAGGAGGTAAAAATTCTTAAGGCGTTATCTTACTTCTTTTTGTTAGGTTTGGAGGGGAGTATGAGGTTGGTCTAGTTGAAAATGCAGTAAACAATGTTTTCTTCTGTCCATTGGGCACAATATCTTTCAGTCATGTCCATTTTGGAAAGAGCTCTCATTTTGGAAGAACAGTTAAGAGAACTGTATTTGACTTTGAGGTCAATGTGATTTAAAATCTCATTGTGTGGGAGGGGGTGGGTGGGCATTGTCCTATGGAGGAGAAAGGGGATTAGTTTATTCAAATTACTTGAGTTTAGTCGCCCAGTTACTCTTTGGGGAATAATTGTTCTCTGCAGGGGAGAGAGGGAGCTCTAGGATTAGAAGACAGACAGGGTCGATTAAGGGGTCTTTTCCAACTCCACAATCAACTAACTTAAATATGGGAGGAATGGAAGTCCCAGGCCCTCAAAAGGCTTTTCGAAAAAAAGATCAGAAACCACATCTTTATGGCAGGAAAGAAACCCTACCAAACACACTGAATATTTCATTTCTGTGGGGAAATCTGGTGATCCATCTTTCTTGCGCATATGTAACCGATTCAGCCTAAAGGTGCATTTAAATAATAATAATTAGCTTGAAGGAGCCTAAAGGGGATATTTACATCTTTGTAGGAGGGCTGCTCCTCCAGTGATGGATGGTGGACTGGGCTGCTGGGGCTGCTGCCTCCACTGCTGCTACTGCTGCCGCTTCCTCCTTTCTGAGTAGCAAGGGGAGGAGGAAGAGGAGGAGGAGGAGGAGGATGCAGGTCTGGACTGCCGTGGTCTCCTAGTTTCTCCTCGTCCTGCTGTAGCCTGGAGGTGTTAAGGACTAGGGGGAAAGAGCCAGCTGGCCGGTCCCGGCTGCCTCCCTTCTCTGTTAGCCCTCGGCCTTGGAGGTAACGGCTGCCTCCGACTAAGGGGTCCCCAAGCATCACCCCTCCTCTCTCTTCCTCCTCGTCGTCCTCCTCGGGGTCTCGGCCTTCCTCTCCTTCGTCGTCTTCCTCCCCTTCGGGGGGCTTGTGGCCCTCCACATCCACTTCCTGCTCCTCTTCTTCATCATCCTCGTCCTCACTGCTGTCCTCACTGGGGTAGCTGCAGCTGGTGCCCCCGGGGGACAGGAGGCGGTGGTGGGGCTGAGGTGGGGGCGGTGGGGGCGGTGGAGGAGGGGGTGGCGGGGGCGGAGGTGGAGGCGGTGGGACCGGATGGTGGCGCTCCGGCCCCGGCTCTTCGGGCTGCTGCTGCAGAAGCAGCAATGGGGAGGGCGGTTGCGGGTGATGATGGTGGTGGTGATGGTGGTGGTGGTGGTGCGGGTGGTGGTGATGGTGGTGGTGGTGGTGCGGCGCGTGCGGATGATGCTGCCCGCCCGCGCCGGCAGAGGCCCCATGAAGCTTGGCCAAGCTCTCGGAGTCGTCCTTGCCCCCAACTGGCCGGAAGGCGCTGGAGTGGTGGTACCCGCCGCTGCTGCCGCTGCCCGCTCCTCCTCCAGCCTTACGTCCTCCTGGGCCTTCAAGAAGATGGGGATGATGAGGCGCTGGCACTCGGCTGCCCCCAGTTCCTCCGGCCCCGCCAGTTCCTCCGACTCCTTCAGCTGGAGGCGTGGATCCGGCGCTGCAGTCTCCACTGCCCGAGGGTGACTCGAAGAGACCGTCGCGCGTGCCGGCTGCCCCCGACGGCTGAGGAGGCTGCCCCGAGCTTGCGCCGTTAGCAGCCGTGGGTGGCTGTGGCTGCCCCGGAGCTGGAGGGGCTTCTGCGCTCGAGCCTCCGTTGCTACCACCTCCTCCTCCCGTTCCTCCTCCCCCTCCAGCACCGCCTGGTTCGGCCAAGTCCAGGAAGGCCTGGCGCAGCAAGGCCGGACTGTCACCCAGGGCGCAGCTGAGAGCGGTCGGGGGCTGGGGAGGGGGCTGTAGATAGGTGGGCACGGGGAGCCCGCCGGGGGTCCGGGGTGGCCAGAACATGCAGAAGGGCGGGTAGAAGGCATCCTTGCGACCCGCAGGCCAGAAAAGCCCCGATAGCCCTGCTTTCTGGGCCCCACCGGCACCTCCGCCTGCCCCTCCTCCGCCTCCACCCAGGGCCTCAGCCCCGGCGGCCCCGTCCTCCTTCTTGTGACACAGGCCGAAGGCGGCAGCGGCGGGGAAGGTGTACGGGTGTGGGAAGAGGCCCCCGCAGCCAGGAAACTTTTGCAGGACTCCCCCGAAGGAGCCTTTACTGGGCACGGGAATGACAGGATAGCTGCGGGGGCCTTTGCTGCCTCCCCCGGGCCCCCCGGCTCCTCCGGCCCCAACGCCCCCTACTCCACCGCCTCCCGCTCCGCCTCCTCCTCCGCCAGCCACGCCGACCCCGGCACTGCCTGCAGCGGCCGCGGCCGAGAGGCTGGCAGCAGCGGCCGAGAGGCTGGCTGCGGCCACCACCGCAGCCTCCTGCAGGGAGTCCTCATCGTCGTCGAAGCGGGGCCGCTTGTGGTGCGAGTGCGGACCACCAGCCAGCTCGGCCAGGGGAGGCGGCGGAGGCGGCGGGGGCGGTGCTCCGAGCAGGTGTGGCCCCAGCAGCCCTCCGCCCCCAGCCACAGCCGCTGCGGCCGCTGCGGCCGCTGCAGCAGCTTTGACCGAGCTGAGAGGGTGGCAGGCTGGATGCGATCCGGGCTGGGGCAGGGCCCTCTTGCGGCTGCCTCCATTGAACATGGCCTTGACGTCCTCCCAGGCGAAGACCAACTCGTCCTGAGGGCTCTTGTCTGTGAGCTTGAGATGGCGCCTCCAGGAGTTGAAGTTGGCGGCGTCGGGCTGCGTGTACTTGGCCTCTGGCGTTCGATGCGAGTGAAAGATGAACTTGTTGGGCGAAAAGTACATGTTGCAATAGCTGCACTTGATGCACTTGGCCCGAGAACTGTTGTAACGTGCGGGGATGAAGCTGCCCCTGCAGCCCCAGGCGCACTCATGGGATACGTCGAAGGCAAAGTTATCTGGCAGCTTAGGCGGCCGGTTTTCCCCCAGGAAAGACTTGCAGAGGCGCTCTGCTTCCCTTTTGGTGATCATACCGCATCGGCGAGAGGAAATGGGCATGGCTCCTGCCCGGCGCAGAATCTCCAATTGCACTGGGGTGCATTGCACACAAGTGATGCCCAGGGCCACCCGCCGGTTATGGATCTCGTTATAGCTGAAGTTCTTCAGTAGAGTGTTGGAGATCTGGGCCAAGCACAGCCTCTCCTGCCCGTCAATCACCAATGACACTATGGGGATCCCGTAGAGAATTACTTGGCCCACCTGGTTGGGCTTCATGCTGGCGTGACTTGGCCGAGGCTGGCTCAGGGCATCAGGCTGGTAGGCGCTGGATGGAGAAGCCAGCAGGATGTCATTGGGGCCTGGAAGAGGACTTGTGGCCATCTCTTCAACCGTAGGCCCTCGAATGGACTCTCCTTGGTCTTGCTTGTAGACTGGAAAATAAAGGAGAAGAAAGCATTGATCTTAAAACATTTTGGTTTAAAACGAGTTGTTAGTTGAGAAAATTGTGATCACTTCCTCTTCGGAAGAGCTGGGATACGATAATACTTTACAATATTAGCATGCTTCAAGAACACATTTATTTCTCCTTTCACTTAAAAAAAACATTATAAAGCAAGGATTTCTCTGTGTTTTTCTTCCTCTTTTCTAAAAACTTAATTGAAACAACTAGGAGAAAAAATCCAAGACACTAAAAGGTTTCTAAAAATTTTTTTAAAAAATGCCATGAGGAGTCCTTTCCTCCTGAGTTTTGAGACCTGTCAAAATAAACTGATTATGCGAACTAGGACTTGCAAATAATAAATACAGCTGATAGCAACTTTAGTATAAGAAAACATGGGAAATTGGGACCTGCCCATAAAATATTTCGGGAAACTACTACTAATTTCCTGCAAATGGCCTAATTTTGGTGGAAAAAACAACCCAACATCCTTTTAAGTGATGGCTGTAGTTTATGTGTTCAGCTTGGAGAAATTCATAATCTGAGTAGAACAATTCAATAAAGTAAAACAAAATCAGGCTTGTGGAATGTCCCTGTTGAAAGTTTGAGGGATAGCAATTTTAAAAACTTATTGTACATCTGAAAAAACTGCATAAACTATGTTTGACTAAAAACAATTAGTTTAACATTCATTTTGCTTTCATATTCTCCTCCCCTCCCCAATTCAGTTACCAGCCACCATTAGCTTATCAGAGCAATTCTGGTTTCTCTTTTCCTGAAGGCCGAAGTAAGTTTAAGCGAAATAAATTGAATTCAAGATAGGCAAACATCTAAAAATGTTTGCCTCCGATTTCCACGGCAATTATAAAGCAAAATAAAGGCATATGTGTTAACATCGGATATTTTTCAACAGCTGAGGAACTAAGCTCTGAATACAGGTTCGAACGGGGTATATTTTTCATCTTGAATGATTGTACAATGCTAAAGGGTAAACACTGATTTAATACAGACCGTCTACTGCAAACACTCTTGGGGTCACTATAAACCTATAAAGAAAGTGAATCTTGGCGTACCTGGGGTACTTGGAATCCACGAGAAAATTCCAAGTGCCATCTCAGATTAGGTGAATATCAAAAGGTGTATGTATTTTAAAAAGCAAGGGAAAGAAACATTTTTTGGTTGAGGTGAGGCTTTCTTTGTTGAATTTCATTCCAGAAAAGAAAAAGACAATGAACAACAAAACGTTGTTCTGAGAGAAAAACGCTGTTCCCACCGTTACTTGTTTTCGGCAATACCTAATGCGCGGGGTTCGGCGCCACCACTGTTTGATAAAGTAGCCACTGCGTTTGTTCCCTCTATTTAGAAATTTCAAGGCTCCCTTCCCTGTTCCCTTCCCACAATGGTTATTCAGACCCTTCCCCTTGGCTTTCCTTGTGATCTTGATTCTTTTGCCACATTGCCTACTTCATTCTCAGCTTTCATTATGCTCCGTGGCCTTCAGGATAGTGGAACAGACCTAGACGTGTTGAAACGAGACAGGAACATAGCTTGTCACTTTGCATGGATCAAAGACAATATTTCCAGTGGACAGGTAGTTAAATGGCAATTCAAGACACCGCTATGCCTGGGCCCCGGCAGAACCAGCTCACCTTTCGCCAAATAGCCCTTCAATGAACAGCTGGTTCTCAAATAAGATTCTTATTATCTTAATAAGATCCTGGGATAACGTGAAACTACTATTCCCAACAATATGAACGTCAAGTACACCTCCGGGAAGTGACACCACACACATTTGATTGTATCTGCATTATATGAAGGCACGAGAAACGTTAACATCAATAGACAGGGAAAAAAGAGCCAATGCCCCTGACGCATCTCTTTCGATTTCTACCCCAAACTCAAGAACTACTGAGGAAGTAGAGAAGCAAAGCAGAGATAGGTTAAAATGGGGGTTGGGGGTAGGGAGGGAAGCTCCTGGGGGAGAAAAAGTTGGAACTAAGAAAGGTGGGCACCTAAATTCCCCATTCCCTGAATAATACAAGTTCCAACTCTTCCTCGGTGCTCCTAGTGAACTAGAACAGTCCCAAGTACCCCTCTCCAATCTCCTCAAGGAAATCGAACTCCTGGTGACCTGAAATAATTAACCTAGACCTGTCTGTCCCGCAAGCGCAGTGACCGCGGTGAAATAATTACCTCCTAAATACTAGTTTCCTTTACGCGTATGTCCTCCTGACCATCTTCCAGGAGGACTCAGAGGGGAAGCATCAAAGCATGTCCTCAAATCAGGCAGGCTGGAGTCTTGCAGGGTTTCCAGTCATATCCAGGCACTCCTCTGCGTTAATGGTACTATAACCCTAGCAGGGTGGAGAATGGCGGTTGTAAATTGTGAGCCAGATCAGTCCCTTTTACCAGATAATCTATGGGTGCGCGCGGAGCCGAAGCAGAGCCCCAGGTTGAGCGTTGCCTGAAAGCGCCTTTCTCTTGTCTCTGAACTCGTGTCGGACCGAGGGGACGCCACCCAGCGGGCAGGGTGACGTCACCGGCTCCCTGACACTCCACATTAAAGGGCTGGCATGTTACAGGGAGAGAGAGCGCGCGAGAGAGTCTGGGTGGAGGAGAACGCGGGGCCGAGGGGTGGGGGAGAGAAGAGGGAGGTGTCCTTTCTCAGCAAGCACGAAAGCAAACACCTAACCAACTCCCAGTAATAACTACCTCACCCCAAAAGGAAAATGCCTGAATGGTGCTCAAGCTGAAGAGCTGAATTGAGGATGGGAAACTTAATTGTTCCCTTGCATCTAGGCGAGCTAGGTCCAGGAGGCCCCCTTCCTGGTGGATCAAAGCTTCCAGTCTAGCTGTTAACTAGCTCTGCTGTTCTCTTCCCCCACGTCCCACCCCTTCCTCCCCGCCACACTCACAGGAGTCATGAATGAATCTTTTAGTGCTTCACCGAGGCCCGTAGCCTAACTCTGTTCCTTAGCAAATGACAAGGCATGCCTGCCTAGAAACACAAATTGTACTGAGCTTACTGGAAGCAGTGAAAAAAGAAGAAAAAGGCTATAGGTTCCTTAACACTTTGCAACATCTTGAATTTTGAAAAAAAATAAATCTGGCATTTCCTACCTGTTAAATACGTATTGTATTTAAAACAAGACTATTAAAAGACAATCTCCCATACTTTCCAAATAGTTTCTTTTATTAAGGTGTGAAGTCCAGTGCGGACATTTATACTTGTATATATCACCAAGTCTAGATTGGAAATAACCACTGATTCTGTGCCATATTCAAAATGACCTCAAGCCCCCAGCCGTCACCACGCAACAGCAGAACATGACAGTAGGAGGGAGGCAAATATGTCAACTGAAAGAAGCAGTTCCCAAAACCAAGATATATGGCTTGCGCAAATGACAAGTTCTCCTTGGGAAAAAAAAAATCCACAGGAATCACGTACAAGCATTTCTTGGAGAAAAATTTTTAAAAAGCAGGGTTAGAAAGAATTTTAAACGACGTGCTTCGTGTAGCAAACTAAGTAACACTCCAGGATGTTAGTCAGTTGTCAATATATTGCTTCTTAATTGACCAGCTGTTCGGAGTAAATATTACATACTGGTTACTTTATCAGGAAAGGAACAAGATTCATGTTCGGGGGACATTGGCTAGTGGATATTTCACTGCAGAGAAAACCACTGTTTTTTTTTTTATCTACTGTGGCACAAAAACTTGAAAATGCCATCTGGTGGGAGAAGGGGTGGATTGGATGATAAAATTAATAGCCATATTACGATGTAAACCAAAGGCAAAGTCGAATAAACCATAAGAGAACTTATAAATCAACCCGCACCGGACTCATCTGTCCTACAGACGGTAAAACCAATTGGTAAATACCGGGATAAATGTGTGAAACCTCACACTTCTTAGACGGTCAATAAAACCAAAGGGAATTCTTGGTTCGAAGCAGAAATGGATTTGCAACATCTTGTTGCCTCGGTAGGAGTTAAAGGCATTTACAATAAAAAGTCCAGAGGAGGCTTGGTTTCGAAGCAGGCAATTGCCGTATTTGTTTGTATGAGGAAAGTTTCAGAAGGCGAAAAGCATTTCTCACATCTGAGTTCTTAAAGTCCTCACTGCAACAAATTAAGATCGCCGTAAGAAGGTGTAGAGTTTAAAATCAACCCCCCCAATAAACAAAAAGAAAAAACCCCAAACCCCAAATCTAAAAGGCATAAAAACTCACGCTTCATTCCTGTATATCCCATTTGCCAAAAAAGTGCCATTGTCATTCACACACAGCCCTTCCTTCTCCGTGATCCAGGTTACTGGCTCCTCAGAAGATTTCTAGAACACGTCCTGATACTTCTTTCCCTCCTTTCCCCACCCCCCTCTTCTCTGGTCTGTGATTTTCCAAGAAGGGAGGCCCCTAGCTCATCTAATGTTCTTATCTCCTAGACACTGGCGATCTGCTCCTGACAGGAAGAAAGCTTAAGTCTGACGAAAAGGATGTCTGGTAACAGGGCGGATTGCACAACAGAAATGGGGAGAAATGAGAAGCACTTTCACTTCTGTTCCATACCACAGGGAAATACCCCAGCACTGCAGGTGCTCTGAGAGTCGCAGTGGCTTTGACCTGCCACACAGTTGCGAATGCTTCTGGTAGCAGCAAGTTCACCGCCTCCTTCCTAGAATCCTTTCTGATTGTAACGTGTCATTTAAGGAAAGAAAACAATCCCCTCCCTTTTAAAACAACAACAACAACAACAATAAATGTGAACTAAAAATGTTTCTCTTCAATTCCACAAAACTCGGTTATCAAGACCTAGGCATTCATTCATCACAGTTACTCAGTTAGTGCAATACCCTCAAGTTACAGGAGGATGTTAAGCACACAAAGAAGTAGGGAGAAAGGATTTTCCTATAAAAAAAAGTATGCTGACATTTTATGGAAAATTAAAGCGTACCATTCAAAATTGGAGTAAGATATTTCTACAAATAATGGAGGGGGGGGAGAGAATGGAGTAGAGCTCAAACTTTAATAAAAGTGTCTGTGGTGTTTAATTGGTTTAGCCTAGATGAAGTAAACTGAGATTCATTATCAGACATCAGTCTGTTATGATTATTCTGTCTTTCTTCACCGTCCCCCTCCCGGACTACAGAATATGAATGTACTTATAGAAGTTGAATGTACAATCAACTTAGAAGCAGTGATGTGTCTTTTTCTCTTCGATCCCAACAACCAGCCTAATAGCCAATAATCAGTGTTCTTGATGCTGTTCTCTGATCCCAGCTAGGGACGGGCATTTTGCAGGTGTTCTGTCTCTCGGTCCCCTCTGAACTCGCCTGACTTAAGAGACCTGTGCTGTCTGGGAAGCGGCAGGTCGGTGACATTTTAATCAATGCTTTCCTATCCTAGCTGACGTACATTTTACACTTCGGGACTCTCCTCCGCCAGCTAATTGATTCAAATTGTTTTATTGGTTAAACTGGTGTCACCCGTTTGCATGATCTATCACCGCTCCGCGGAAAACATTTCCTTCCTTATCTCCGTTCCGAGCGGCTGCGGTTTACCCAGGCCAGGGCCAGGTAAGGGAGCCCAAGAACCGGACTCAAAAGAAAATCACAAATCAAATTACAATCCCCCTTCACCTCACCCCTCCCTGAACTCCGAAGGGTGACAAACTCAGCACAGACATTACTGGGCTACTTGGAAACCTGGGCTAGTAGCCTGGTCCAATATTTCTAGTTTGCCTCCTCAAAGATGAAGCTAACAGAGACTCAGATTTCTCTCTGGCCTCTAAACACTGACCCGGGGAATCTTCTCCTCGGGCTATATCGGCTGGAGACTATAACCTACTGAGCTGCCTGAAACCCTAGAGTCCAAAGGCTGCAGGGAGCTATCCGTGGTCCTGATGCAGTTCCCAGCCCCCGAGGCTTAGCCGACCCTGACAGCCGT